GTAGTTGGGCAGTGTTTGTTAGCTACTAATCAACAGCGAATATGAACAAAGAAGGCCCATCACGTGCAGTTTGTCTCACTTGTTACTGTAACTATGGCAGAGTGGTGAAAAGCTAAAGGCTCAATTCGTCTATACTACACAAACTACAACTAAAGGGTATCGTCTCATCTAATCATAAACACCTAGTTCTTGAGCACGTAACGGTACCTGGGAAGGCCCTTCTCAAAGTCAACGATGACATCGTTGGCCTCCGACATAGGCCTGACCTGAACCCAAGCCTTGAGGTTGGTCTTCTTGGCCAACTCCAACATGTCGCGGATGTGCTGCCTGGTACCGATCAAGCTACCAGCGATCTTCAAGTTCTTGAAGATGAGACCCATGGGGGAGAAAGAGGGCAATGGGTCGTCGGGGGCACCGAGCTGAACGAAAGTACCGTTGACGTCGAGGAGGTTGAGGTACTGGTCGAGAGGGAAACCACCGGAGATGGTGGAGATGATGATGTCGAGGCCGGCGGCGTTCTTGTTCATCCAGTCAGGGTCTTCGCCAGTAGCGATGAACTTGTCAGCACCGAGCTCAAGAGCATCGGCCTTCTTGCTGGAGGAACGGGAGATGGCAACGACCTCGTCGCATCCGAGAGCCTTCGCGAAGAGGAGGGCGAAGTGACCGAGACCACCGATACCGACGACACCGACGCGCTTTCCTGGGCCGGCACCGTATGAGACGAGAGGGTTGTAGACAGTTACACCACCGCACATAAGGGGAGCAGCGTACTCTGAAGGAAGACCCTCAGGAATGGGGATGGCGAAAGCGGCAGGTCCACGCCAGTTCTTGGCGTAACCACCCATGGCCTTGTCGCCAGTGCTGTACTTGGCGTTGTAGGTCATGACGAAGTTGTTGCAGTTGCTCTCCTGCTTGGTCTTGCAGGGCCTGCATCCCTCGCAGCAGTCGCTCTGAGCACCAACACCAACACGGTCACCGACCTTGAGGTCTTTGACATCGTCTCCTACGCGGGTGACCTTTCCGATGATCTCGTGACCGACGACGAGGGGGTAGTCTGAGGGGCCCCATCCGGAGCGGAGAGTGTGGATGTCGGAGCCGCAGACACCGCAGTGGCTGATCTCCATCTCGATGTCGGTAGACTCGAACTTCTTGGGGGTGTAGTCACCCCATTGCATGTTGCCGTCGGCGGCGGAGGGGTCATGGGCGACCCATCCCTTAAAGTCTGGTGAGGAAGACATGATTGTTTGGTGATGTTACTGAATGGAGGAAGAGTGATGAGTGGTTGTAAGAGAGGTTAGGTTTGTATGATGAGATGCAGAATCTACAACTACTTCTCGTCAGTCTTATACCTGTACACATTTTCTAGAAGTTTTCCAGCATTTGTAATACATCAACAGACGGTATGAGGTTGCCGTTTCGTTATCCTAGTGTTTTGCTCTTTCGCCGATCTACGCCGACGGCATCGGACCCACTTTGACGACGTTTTTGAGCCTCAAGCGGTGCGTGCACAGCATATCCGTTAAACCCGCCCTCACCGGTCCGATAAGGGTATGGGTCTGAGGCGACAAGACTGCAAAACTCTCGGACGAGGCTCGCGGTGAAGACGTCAATCTGGGGCTAGTCCCGTAACGTGTATCATCGATCTGCCGCGACACGTGGAAAGCTCAAGGAGGAAGGCGTTTCGCGCAGCGCTAATCTAGTTCCCGTTGACGTGTCGGGATTTAGAATCGTTTAGAATCTTTCTATGCTTCTAGACCTAGTCTTGTTGTTATGTCAACATCTCAGATATCTCTCTTTGCGTTGACCGCCTAGCTGAACATGCGCGCTCTCTTCAAGATACAACCCACCTCATGCCATTGTCTTATGCGCTTGGCCTAACGTTACCGGTTTTTTGTATTCCTCAGAAAGGGCCGGGGTTGTCATGCACAAGATCGTATGACCGGAAGTTGCATCATAACAAGTTAGCATTTCAGGGACCAAATGAAGTAATCGCAGATCTTAAGAAGCGACACTGCAGTCTTATTAGCGCGGAGATATTCCTTCCCATCATGCAAGTTTCTCCTTTATCCACTCAAGACCTTTTTTCAGCACATGCTTCGCTTCTTCGTACTCTTGCCACTGAAGATTCACTTCGGCCCTTTTACGTTCAAGCGGTTCGCGTCCTGGTATCGAAAGCCTTGCGTCACAGGTTTCGGCGCCATTATCGAGTTTGATCTTGATGATGCGCTCCTCCTCGACATGGCCACAAAGGAGATCCCATACATGTTTCGTCACTTTGTCGAGTAAGAGTGTTGGTTTGTTGTCTTCGTATCGACAGATAAGTGGCAGCTTGATGGAGAATCCGGAGGTGCGAGACCTCATCTCCAGGGGTAGTGTTCGTTCTCCGAAACCATGTTCGGAGCCATATAACGCCTCATTCAGGGCATTGAGCGCACTTGTCCTCATAGACACTGTAAGCTTTTTAGAGACATAGAAGATCAGCTAGCCAGAGTATGTGTGTAGAAGTTGAACGTGAGTTGCTTCGCGCAGATGACGAGGATCCTAGGTACTGTGTATTTTGCTTACCGGTAAGCAAGCCCAAGATTGCGCTGAAGTCACGCCTGCGGTTAGAATGATCGTGCAAAATCCTTTACAGTCGCTCAATGACAAGTCATATGTAGCTTGATGGAATCTTTGAAGGCGTGAGTTGGGCAGCGCCACGACTGCGCTGCGTCCGCGGGTATGTGAAGCATGGCGGTGAATTCTGGATACCAATATAAAGATATCAATAAAGTTCGCAAGCTGCCGATAATGTGGCGATGAAAAACAATGGCTATGTTGAATTGCAGCTGTTGCATCGTGAAGATTGTTGGTGTTGAGATCTCGGGAGACATGGGCCGAAGCGGAGATGACGTCTAGCGTCTTGGCAGTCGTCATAGCCCAAACTCTCGGTGGCAGACGATTCCGGAGAAACCACGATGCCCTTCTACAGTCCCGAATTCGAACGTGTGACGTTTGGAGTCCACGCGGAAACGAGCGTTATGGGGTCGGTATGGATGTAGTACGGCGAGCAGCAATGTGAACATCTGAGTCCGTGTCTTCAGATGATTGAGACGATGACCACGGCTACGAGACATCAGCAAGACCGCCTTCTTCACTGTGTCTAGGTGACTGTATAGTCTTTGCATGTGCGACAAACAGAGAGTTCAGGTTTCACATCATGTAAGCCAGAACAAAGAAACCAATACTTATTTCATTGACAAAGTGTTGTCAGATTTTGAGCAAAGCTCCAACAGGCATACAATCTCTCCCCGTCAATATTCGTGGTGCGCGAGTCGGAATTGAACAAATTGACTATCGACACGCCTCCATCAAGTGGAAAAGATGGCGCCTGCTGAACCCTTGACCGATAAGCATGCCGTAGGCGTCCAGACTGAAGCTGATGTGGTCTCCGTCATTAGCGATGATGAAGACATTGGAGAAGACGCGCGGAAAGATGTCCCGCTACCACCGGAAGTCAAACGCGGACCTGAAGATGAGCCTTTCGAAACTCTTAAGCACAAAGCTTCACAGCTCATCCTCGATCTTTTTCCTGGTTACTGCGCCCGAGACGTAAAGATCGAACGCATGCAAGACGGAGAAAACAGTCGCTTCCTCAGCGTTACGCTTTGCAAGATCCCACCTAAAGCGCCATGGTACACCACTCAGAGAGTTCTCGAACTACTTCAGCCATGTCTTACAGGTCGGCCGACACGTCAAAACAAGCGAAAGCGTCTTGTTCTACGAATACCACACAATCCTGATCAATACATGCACCATCAAGCTGTCATGCTAGCGTATCTGGGCCTGAAGCTCGAACATCCAGTCCCCAAGATTGTCACCTTCGATCCGACCGCACATAACGCGCTTGGTCGATCCTACATGCTCCAAAAGCGGCTACCTGGCCACCGCCTGGACGTTCTCTGGCCAACGTTGAACCAAGCCCAGCGACTCAGTGCCGTGCGAGCCATCTCCGCCGTCCTTCTGGATATAAGGAAGATACGGAACAAGTGCCCTGGTTTCATTGGCATCCGCAACACGACCTACGATCTCAAGAACGATTTCGTCAGCACGGAGCCGATACCCATTCCCCGTTTGCGGAACACAACCCACCAAGTAACCTTCAACGTCGCACTTTCAGATCCGCAAAGCGCTAAAGACTTCTTGCTCGATCTCTGTGCTCGCCAGCGTGCATATGCGACTGCTGCGAAACAACCTGGTGGCAAAGAAGTCTGGGTTAGGATCGTCAAAGTGATTGAGACATTACATGAGTCCGGCCTCATCCCGGATTCTTCACCGTTCCACTTCTACCATGGCGACTTCAATGCACGCAATCTTCTCGCCTCTGTAACCTCGGAGTCAGAAATAGTGATCACTGGAATCGTAGGCTGGGATTCCGCGCTATTCGCGCCGGCTTTCATGAGCACGCGCGCACCGTTCTTCCTATGGAGTGGCAATATGGGCAGCGAAGGCGAAGAGGGCGACGCGCTGGCCGAACCGGAGGATGCGGCATTGTTGGAGGCTAAGCGTACTTTTGAAAGTGTTGTGGGCGAGGGCTTCCTGAAAGAGGCGTACTCTCCAGCATTGATTCTCGCGCGCCGGTTATGGCGATTCCTGGTTAATGGGTTCACCAATGGTGCGGACATCTTCCTTGCGGAGGATGTTGTGGAGGAATTCGAAAGGTTGTATCCATGCGCGTAGGCTGAGTCGAGTGAGTAGTTGCAGGCTCTTCTAGCGCACAGTGAAGCTGCATAGATCTGCGGGCTCCTGTTATTCATTGTTGACATGCTATGTCTTGCGATAGTTTGCTACCATTTGAAGAACAAGGCGTAGGGGTTCTCATAATTCAAGGATTTGTATTCCTTGATCAGGCAGCTGTGGAGGTGGCACGCCTGCTGGGAGTAAACATGTTTGATGTATGGTCCACAGAAATACAATCCGTACATTGTTCTCTATCGGGCAGTCGCTGTAACGCATCTGCGTTAGACTTCTTCTGCTTCTTCTGCTTCGTGTTCTTCTTCTTCTAGGCCCTCTTCTTCTAGGCCCTCTTCTTCTGAACCCTCTTCTTCTGAAACCTCTTCTTCTGGGTACTCTCGGTCTGAGTACTCTTGGTCTGAATCCCGTACGTACGTCCAGATGTCCCTCCATTCGGTATCGTAATCATCACCGAGTTTCTCGAAGAAGGCTGGCGGCGGAATAATTTGCAGACGGTGACCAAAGCTATGACGCTCCCACGGTGCATACAGATGCTTCTGGTACTCATTAGCAACCTCGTCGCGTGCGGTGCGTCGTATTGGTATAAGTCGGTCTTCGGGAACTGTGAGTACACGATTAGCACATCGAATGAATCAATCGGTCCCAATCTTGCTCTTACCAGTGTCATAGTCATGTTGAACTCTGATGACATAATCGAAGTGGATGCCGAGAGACTTAAACTGCTCCGAAAGATAAGGGAAGCTGAATTAAACATCTTCCCTCTTTTCATCACCCCTTGGGCTGTTCACGATGATGCCAAAGTTCCTAAGTGAAACGCTGACACCCTGGCACGTGTGTAGCAGACTCTAGACTTGTTCATCACATGCAGTGCTGGTATATGGGTCGTGCACACGTCGAACCATGTTATGGTTGTCTCGGCTAAGCACAAATGTCTCCAGGCCTGTGGGCAGGAGTGCACCAAGGTTTGAATCCTCGGTTTCTTCGGCAGGTGAATTCCCAGTTTCTTCGGCAGGATCTAGTGATTGTTAGTAGTTGACCATTGGGAAGAGGGTCGCGGCTCGCGTACCAAGCATTATCTCTAGCGGCAGATAGAGGTATCGCAGACTCGTGAACTCTCGGAGTGATCCAAGTTTTGAAAGTCCCATAACCATCCAGTCGCGGTTCTCCTTGATCTTTAGAGCCTCAAGCCGCGGATGAAGCGTCTGCAACAACGTCTTGATGTTTGACCATTCGTATGGAAGGCCTTCGTGGTAAGTTCTGGGCGTTGTCCACGAGAAGGACTCAAGTGCTTGGAAGGAGCCGAGAAGCCTCTCGAAAGTTTCGTAATGGCATTCAAAATTGTACAGCTTCAGTTTTTGGACATTTGAACCTTTCAGGGGACAATCCCAGGGACAGGGCGGGTCTGTCTGACTGTCCTCCTCGTGACAGTAATCTGTAATAACCATTTCACGCAGTGATTCAAGACGAAGAATTGGAGATATATCGTTGATATGCGGTCCCTGCATTCGAATCTTCAGTGAGTGGAGCCGTGCAAACTGGTGAACGCGACCGTACGGAATCCCTCGGCCTGCATACACAAGAGGTATGAGTGCCGCATGTGGTTGACGTCGGACGAACGCAGAGAGCCGGCCTCGGGATTGTGTAGAACGTGCGCCTGGACAGAAGTTCAAGGCAATGCTTTCGACGCTAGGTGTAAGGCACAGGATCAACCATGAATCCAGCTCGTGCAATGCGTCCATACTTTCGCCTTCGCGTAGGAGTGAAACGTATCTTTCCTCTTGCGGTAGGCCAAGAGCCTCTATCGTCGACTGGATAGCTTGGAGGCTTTGCGCACTCCGAACGCGAGGCTTAAATTCGTGTGCCAAGAAAGCGAATTCTTTCGATCCAATCTCCTTCATTTCTTTCACTAACAAAGGTAGTGCTGGTTTGGTGATCAGGCTCTCGATGGATCTTGTCGACTGTTGTTCGAAATAGCCATAAACATAACGTTCGTAGAGCATGGTGGTGGCGGCAAGTCAACGCCAACGCCGCATAGTCGCGAACGGGCGGCCTTGGGAGGTCGCCGATTCCCACCAAACACTTTGCCAATATTAGATTTTTGCCCCCGGTTGATGCAAGAGGCAGGTAGCCAAAGATTCTCAGCAGGGTTTCGTCTGGTAACGCACTGAGGTAATCTGCCGCACTGCACGAATGCATATCTCTGGGAGGCGGGGTGATTGGCGACGTCTTTGGCTCTTCGATTTCTGATCCTTTTTGTTGCGCCATCGCGACTGGTCCAACGGGGTGACGTATGATGAAGGGTCTGCTACAGCTGAGACGATGCCGCGACATCCAGCTAACCGGGTTAGCTTTTGGCTTCTGACTAAGGGAACGCGTCAGTTTCGCGTTCGCCGCGACGCGCATCTTGGCTACACTTGATCATGACATCGACACTCAACAATATATGCGAGACTCACTTTTGGACCCGGTCAAATTGTCTGCACTTTGTTTTTTCAAGAGGAAAACAACGTAGCTATTTTGCCAGCGCTACTGATGCATCGAGCCTCAAGTCCTCCTTATGCAGCCACCGTCTGTACATGGAAAGGATAATCTGTGTACCCCTTTTGCGGCGGATCAGCGCCATAGAAGGTGTCGCGATCATACTGATTCAGCTCTAGGCCCTCAGCGAGGCGCTTCGGCAGATCCGGGTTCGCTATGAACCACCGACCGAATATGACGAGGTCAGCATCTCCGGACTCTACCTTCGGCGCGGCATTGTCTCTATTGAATCCACCAGCCGCAATGAACTTCACGCCACCCTTCTTTAAGATGCTTCGGAAGTTGACGAGCGTGTTGCCCTTGACCTTGACCGTCGCCTCCGCCTCCACGCCCTTGCCTCCTTGTGTGGTGTAAGCGGCCAGAGCGTCCATCTTGGCTTGCTCGTCGAGGACTTCATCGAAGCGCGGTTCGACCCTGGATATCGTCAGCATCAGCCTGGGGACCGAAGTGGTTCAACTCACATGTGGACATATGCCGGCTTCTCACCCTGCGGAAGCGACGCGATCTTCTCGCATAGGTACTCCCAGTGATCGTTGGGATTGCTATCCTTGGTGTTCTGGAAATAGTTGTATGGGCTGAGACGGATGCCAACTCTATCAGCACCAATGGCTTTGGAGCAGGCTTGGATGACTTCAAGTGGAAAGCGACTGCGACCTTCGATTGATCCGCCATACTGGTCCGTTCTCTTGTTGACATTGTCGTGTAGGAACTGATCAAGCAAGTACCCATTCGCGCCGTGGATCTCGATACCGTCGAAACCGGCCCCAACCGCCTTCTTCGCGGCTTCTGCCCAGGTCTTTGTCAAACCTTGGATCTCTTCAACCGTCAATGGCTTAGGTGGATGATCGGCGCACGCAACGCCGTCAAGCCAACTACCCTCCATAGGCACGTCGCTCGAGCTGACTGTTGGCGCTCCGGCCCGGAAGGACGGTGGACTAGCACGTCCAGTATGCCACAGCTGGCAGAAGATGTACCCGCCTTTTGCATGGACAGCATCCGTGACTTTCTTCCAGCCGGCGATTTGGGAGTCCGAGAATACACCCGGTACACCTGGGTATCCGCTGGCCTAGCACAAGTCAGTATGTTTGCTTCAACTGGTCCCGCACTACCCACGTATTTGGCAATGTCAGTGGCCTCTGTCAATTGCAATCCGCCCTTGCTTGCGCGTTGGCTGTAATACTCAACGTGTAGCTCTTTCGGTACGAACACCCCATCTTCCTCTTTGGTCGCTCGCATGCGTGTCAATGGCGCCTGCACTATTCTGTGTTCGAGATCCAGAGGGCCGAGTTTGAACGGCGAGAAAAGCACAGTCTCATTGAGTGGCTTGAAGCCTGTCGGGCTATCTGCTTTCGGCATATTTGTTGGTATCGCACTTGCACTGATGACTGCGAAGAGGAGAGAATGAAGTCGCTGCTGCCACAAAAAATTTCTAACAGATACATGGCTGCTGCTCAGGGTCTCCTATGTACCTGGCGCTAGTGCCAGAAACGGTGGTTGCCATCGCCGCAGATCCCATGCTGGGGAGTGGTGTTTGCAGATACAGAAATGGGGGAGGGGCAGATGCAGCAGAGCGTATGACGAGGCTGGTGTTTGCGGAGTACGAACGAACAGCCATCTGTACGACGCTGTTGCGCTGTGGTCCAAGAGTGGGGTACTGTGGGCCCGGCCATCGGAAAGGCGAAATCGTCTATCATCGGAACAGTCGTCTCGCGCCAGCAGGCCAATCAGCGATCGCATTACGTGAGAAGGATGTGAATACTGCGGAAACGGATGTTGGGTGAGGATATTATGAAGAGAACATCGCATTCTCTATCGCCTCGGCCTCATTACCTGTCTGCTCAGGTTTGACACCCGTCATGTCTCTGCCGATTCCGCCGAAAAGCAGTGCAGATCCGCCGCGGGGCCTTTCCGCTACCGAAGCCCTTACACCTCTCATCGAGACGACATTCAGAACACCAGACATAACAACATGGATCAACGGAAGGAAAGCAATCATCACTAATCCAAACCCGCACTGGACTCTGCTGGACTACATCCGCGCTCAGCCGAACCTCAAAGGCACGAAGCTAGGGTGTGGCGAGGGTGGATGCGGCGCATGCACTGTTGTTCTGCAGGTTGCAGATTGGCATTCTGAAAGGAAGAGAATCAAGCATATATCAGTGAACGCGTGTCTATTTCCTCTAGTCGGTATCGATGGCAAGCATGTCATCACCGTGGAAGGCATCGGTAATGTTGGCAGACCGCATCCTCTGCAAGAGAGGATCGCGAAGTTGCACGGCAGCCAATGTGGCTTCTGTAAGTCAAGCTGTCGTTGTTCCCTACTCTAAAACTGACTATCTTCATAGGTACGCCTGGTATCGTGATGAGTCTGTACGCAGTGGTGCGCAACGCGTACAATCCGGACACGAAGAAGTTCCATCTCAGCGCTCGAGAGATCGAGATGGAGGGTCACTTGGACGGCAACTTGTGCCGCTGTACAGGTTACAAACCAATACTTCAAGCTGCAAAGACATTCGTCACCGAGGATCTGAAAGGTCAATTAGCAGAAGAAGACGAGCCAACGACTGCCGACGCCGAGAAGTTTGAGAAAGATGTCATTGATCTGACTCGCAATGGCTGTGCAGGTCCTCCCAAGGTCTCCTGCGGGCGACCGGGTGGCTGCTGTAGGGATAGCCCGTCCGACAGCAGCTCGACAGACACCAAGTCAGACACCTCGTCACCTCCAACGGAGCCAACATCGGCGTCAGAAGACGAGCACATCAATGCCGTTCTGGATGCAAAAAAACAGCTGCAACCGGATCCCGAGATTAGCGGCGCAGACTACGCGAAACCGCTGAAGAGTAAAGAGCATGGTGCGGCTGCCGAATCCAAGACTGTCACGTCCACTATCGAGGCACCGGCGGCCGCTTCAGAGAAGGGTGTCCCGAAGATCGAGTTCTCTGAATACGTTCCGGATACCGAGCTCATCTTCCCGCCTGCGTTATGGAAATACGAGCCGCAGCCTCTATGTTACGGTAACGACAAGAAGATCTGGTTTCGTCCTACGAAGATCGAGCAACTTGTGGATCTGAAAGACGCATACCCTTCAGCCAAGCTCATCGGCGGTGCCAGTGAAGTTCAAGTGGAAGTTCGCTTCAAAAACTCTGACTTTGCTGTCTCCGTCTACATTTCAGATATACCAGAATTGAAGCAAACGCGGATGCCAAAACATGCTGAGCTTGAGACAGCCAAGGAACTCGTCGTTGCAGCGAACACCCCGCTCACTGAGCTTGAGGATATTTGTAAAAAGGTATACACAATGCTCGGAAAGCGTGCGATGGTGCTAGAGGCCCTTCGCAAACAGTTGCGATATTTCGCGGGTCGTCAGATTCGTAACGTCGCATCATTAGCTGGCAACATTGCAACAGCATCGCCAATCTCAGACGCCAACCCTGTGCTGCTTGCGGCTGGTGCTACCCTGGAAGCTGTAAACAAGAGAGATGGCAGTGTCGATCTCCCGATGCCAAGTTTCTTCATCGCCTACAGGACCACATCACTCCCGCCTGATGCAACGCTGCATCGAATTCGAATCCCTTTGCCTCCGGAAGGATCACGAGAGGCTCTCAAGGCTTACAAGCAAGCCAAGCGCAAAGACGACGACATCGCAATCGTCACGGCTGCGTTCCGAGTGCGTCTAGATCCTGACGGCCTAGTGGAGGATGCTTCGATCGTATACGGCGGCATGGCGCCTATGACGAAAGAGTCACCCAAAACCCAGACTGCCCTCTTGGGTAAGCCCTGGTTTCATTCGGAAACCCTTGATGCTGCTCTTACGGCGTTGTTACAGGATTACGATCTTCCATACGGTGTTCCAGGTGGCATGGCAGACTACCGGAAAACGCTTACCCTGTCACTTTTCTTTCGGTTCTGGCACGAGTCTGCTGCTGAGTTTGGTCTTGGCAACGTTGACGAGCAGGTGATTGATGAGATTCACCGGGAGATCTCCAGTGGTGCTCGCGATGATTACAATCCCTACGAGCAGCGCGTAGTAGGTAAGCAGGTGGCGCATCTATCTGCTTTGAAGCAGTGCACTGGCGAGGCGGAGTACATCGACGATATGCCACGACTAGATCGTGAGCTGTTCGGTGGACTCGTCATGTCGACAAAGGCCCACGCCAAAATCCTGAGCATCGATTGGGAGCGAGCGCTTCAGCTGCCTGGTGTTGTTGGCTACATCGATCGGCATAGCATACCCTCAGATGTCAACATCTGGGGTTCGATCAAAAAGGACGAAGCGTTCTTTGCTGAAGACAAGGTTCTCTATCACGGTCAGGTCATTGGCATGATCTATGCAGAGTCAGCCTTGGAAGCTCAAGCGGCCGCGCGGGCTGTGAAGGTCGAATATGAAGAACTACCACCAATCCTCACCATCGACGAAGCTATCGCAGCCCAAAGCTACTTTCCGCATGGAAAGAATCTGAAGAAAGGTCTTGCAATCGATGACAAGATGGGCGACGCCTTCGCCCAATGCGACAAGATATTCGAAGGTGTAAACCGGCTAGGTGGGCAGGAGCACTTCTACCTCGAAACGAATGCAGCGCTTTCTATACCTTCCGGGGAAGACGGGGCTATGGAGGTCTGGTCGTCGACACAGAACACGATGGAAACTCAAGAGTTTGTTAGCTCGGTGTTGGGCGTGCCAAGCAACCGCGTCAATGCCCGCGTGAAGCGCATGGGAGGCGGTTTCGGTGGCAAGGAGTCCCGCAGCGTGCCGTTCGCCGTATACACAGCGATAGCTGCTAGGAAGGAAAAGCGGCCAGTGCGCATAATGCTAAACCGCGATGAAGACATGCTGCTCAGCGGCCAGAGACATCCTTTCCAAGCCCGTTGGAAGGTCGGTGTTTCGAAAGAAGGCAAGCTCATCGCGCTTGAAGCCGATATCTACAACAACGCTGGTTTCTCTCAAGATATGAGCGGGGCAGTCATGGATCGGTGCCTGACGCACTTTGACAACTCTTATGAGTGTCCAAATGTGTTCCTGCGTGGTCACGTGTGCAGGACCAACATCCACAGCAACACTGCCTACCGAGGATTCGGAGCGCCTCAAGGCATGTACTTTTCCGAAACCGTCATGTACAACATTGCAGAAGGTCTGGGCATGGATGTGGACGAACTACGACTGAAGAACCTGTACAAGCCTGGAGAACACACCCCATTCTTCCAAAAGATCGACGAGGACTGGCACGTTCCCATGCTTTTGCACCAGCTGAGCAAGTCTGCCGACTACGAGAATCGGAAAGCTGCTATCAAAGACTTCAACTGGAACAATCGGTGGAGAAAGCGCGGCATCTGCCTTGTTCCTTCGAAGTTTGGTCTTAGCTTTGCGACGGCTCTACATCTCAATCAAGCTGGCGCTTACATCAAGATCTACCATGATGGCAGTGTACTCTTGCATCATGGAGGAACAGAGATGGGTCAAGGTCTCTACACCAAGATGTGTCAGATAGCAGCGCAAGAGCTTGGCACTCCGCTCGATGCCATCTACACTCAGGATAGTCAGACGTACCAGATTGCGAATGCGTCCCCTACCGCTGCATCATCCGGATCCGACTTGAACGGCATGGCTGTAAAGAATGCATGCGATCAGATCAACGAACGATTGAGACCATATCGCGAGAAGCTAGGAAGAGACGCGCCACTGAAAGCGCTCGCCCATGCCGCTTATGTCGATCGTGTCAACCTCGCTGCGAATGGCTTTTGGAAGATGCCAAAGGTCGGATACACCTGGGGCGACACAAACTTGGAAACTGTCAAGCCCATGTACTACTACTGGACCCAAGGAGCGTGTTGTTCTGAAGTCGAACTTGACCTACTCACTGGCGACCACACCGTGCTACGAACAGATATCATGATGGTAAGCGCTACTGCACATGCATCCATTGCAACATACTAACGAAGCTTCAGGATGTCGGCAACTCCATCAACCCAGCGATAGATTACGGACAGATTGAAGGCGCATTCATCCAAGGCCAAGGTCTCTTCACCATCGAAGAGACACTCTGGACTCGGAACGGCCAGCTCTTCACTCGGGGTCCCGGAACATACAAGATCCCCGGCTTCAGCGACATTCCGCAGGTCTTCAACGCCAGTATGCTTCGCCACGATAACGACGGCAACCCGCTGTCGTGGAACCACTTGAGGAGTGTTCAAAGTTCCAAGGGTATTGGGGAGCCACCGCTCTTCCTGGGATCAACGGTCTTCTTCGCGCTGAGAGACGCGGTGTTGGCAGCGAGGAAGATGAACGGGAAGAACGACGAGGGATGGAATTTGGATAGTCCGGCAACCTGTGAGAGGCTGAGGTTGGCGGTTGGAGATGACCTTGTTGACCGGGCAAGAACGGTAAAGAAAGAGGGAGAGACGAATTTCTTGGTTGCTGTAGCGTGATCATGGGTATGGGAACACGCGTTCACCATTCCATATATCATTTCATTCAATACAGGTATCCATTCTGCACGGCGCTTCTCTTGCGCATTGCTTTTGCGAGGTTTGACGCATCCCGCACGCGTGCTACTCTTTGCTTGGCAAGAACATAAGTCGATGCTATCGCCCGTTTCAACACCTCCTACCGCGAATACATTGTTTCTCTTCCGATAGCCTTCATTACAATCCCGTCGGTTGAGAAATGCCTATCGCGCAGCTTATCGGAAAGCGAAGCCGGTAACGATGACCTCAGCGGTGGCATGACTAATGGTCGCGCGGCAGTGTGTCAAGGAAGTCGCGTCGGGCCATGATAGAGCAGCTACCAACTCCAACCGCATCCCTTGCATGAATGCAGCTTGCCTGAACAGGCTCCTAGAATTCCCGTGTCTTCCAATATGACAGCAGCTCCACATGAGGCCACCATGGTCTATCTCCATGCGAACTACGCACGGCGGAGATAACCGCAAATTCTCCGCGCCTTGCTGCTGACGCGTCCGACAATCGAGCAGCATCGTCAACCACAGCCTACGTGCCTGCTGCCGTTTGCCAGGCCGACACACAAAAACCAAGATGGAGTGAACGCGCTTGACGATGGATGTTGATGGCGTTGGGAAACCTCACCCCCACTCTTGGAAATGCGTTCCCAAAGCTACGCCACCACGCGCAACCCCGCCCACTAGCGGCACGACTCAACTCCACACTCGGCCGCGATAGTCGGACTTCTCGACCCCGATAAGCATGGCCTCTATCCGACGCGATATCGTATACCATTCCATGGAGCGGAGTCTTGAGCCTCTCTTCACCCCATTTCATCTCCAGTGCCCCCATCCTTTGATCAGATCATCGAAATAATCTCTCAGATTCTGCGCTATGGCATCCACTACTGTCGACAGTGCAAGCTCAGGGACCCGCGGGCGCAAGAGAAGGAACTTGAGCAAGAATGAAGGGAAGAAGTTTGTATGCACGAATGACGGGTGTGGGCGGTCTTTCACTAGAGCCGAGCATTTGCAAAGGCATTTGCTGAATCATTCGACGGGAGAATACACGTGTGATCGATGCAGGGCTCACTTTAAGCGGAGAGATCTTCTTGGTAAGAATGATGCACTCTTTCCTTGGCTTCGAGAATGCATGGCTGTTTTTGCCTATGAGCGGCTCTTCGCTGAGACGCACGGAACTACATGCCCACAAGATGCCGCGCTCCTTTCGTGTCACAAGATGGAAGAGCTTCTTATCATATACCGCATCTAGACTCCTGTTTGTTGGGTCTCGCATCGGATGTGTAGTTATCGCGTCGTTGCTCTAGTGTTGATCGTGGTCACTAACCCATTTGCGCAGAGAGGCACATCAGTCGCCATCGGCAAAAAGACGAAGAAGCCGGCGCTGAGGGTTGTGGAGTGCTCAATACCCGAAAGCGAATGTGGAAAGATGCCGAAGGCAAGATAGTCACGAAGAAGCCCAATTTATCTAAAGACGGTCAGAGAACCGGTTCGCTGTCGCTATCGCAAACCGAGGACCTCTTGCAGTCAATGCCAGACTTCGCCGAGTTCGCAACACATCAGGGCCTGCCTATATCACCACCGACATCGAATGGGCCATCTCTACCCCATTCATTGGACGACAGAGACTCCGGCATAGGAATCAACTACCCCCAAACAAACCTCGATCCAAATAGCATTCCTTCATCTAGTTCATACTCGCCCACAGATCAGCGCTTCTGGTCCGCCAATAACACGCAATCATCAGCCGAGCCATTTACCTCTGCGGTTTACGACAATGCGCCATTTGACGAGATATTTAATCCAGATACAGCTAGTTCCTTTAATGCGCCCTTCACAACCATGAGTAACTACAATTGGCTCTTTGATATGGACTGGACGAAGAACGATCAGACTCAACAAACGATCATAGAAGACGCATTCCCTACCCTACCCTTCGAGGATAATGCGGTGTCTCAATCGATCCAGGGTTTAGATTTTCAATTGGAACAGGTGGACATGGAGGGGCCGCTATCGACGGTCGGCCAGTTTGGCTCACTTCCGTCCCAGCCAAATGAGTCTCTTCGCCACCAGCACCATCACTCACCATCTGCACAATTGATCACGCCGCCGATTGATGATGCAAGCAAAACAGCTAGTCCGCCGTCTAATGATGAACCCTCCGCACCAGCGACACACAACAATACTTCCATCGACGTTGAGCGACCACTGTCTTTGCTGCAACCATCGCGAAGCCTACCGATCATTGATGAGCTAGCTCGTCAGCAGCTACTCGATCTCATTGACATTGTACAACCTACTGTACCAGACGGCAGTATAGTCATGCGAGACCACCCGCTGCTCTCGTTATCGTGCTTGCAAACATACTGCGATCTGTTCTTCACGCGTTTCAACACTACATATCCGTTGATACATATGTCTACTTTTGATCCGTCAGAGGTTGACACACTTCTCCTTGTATCAGTCTTGCTGTTAGGCGCAACATATGGAGAGAAAGACGCACACCAGCTCGCAGTAAGTGAACTCGCATTATGATATTCAGGCTCCGACTGACTCGAACTAGGTATGCATCCACGACGTGCTGCGGCCACAGATCTTTGCCAATGCCGGCTTTTCGGCGAAGCCAGATCTCTGGGTCCTTCAAACAATCCTATTGGTCGAGTGTTTCGGTAAAAGCAGAGCTGGACAAAAACAACACGACATGTCGCATCTCTTCCACGGCTTACTCATCAACCTCATTCGGCGGAGCGATTGCCAAAGTATCCGGCCACCAACACCGGAAGAAGCCACGGATAATCTCGAAGATGACTGGCGGATATGGTGCGAAGCAGAGCAAAAGAAGAGGTATGTATTCATCAACTGAACCCTCACGGCACCTAGCTCAAAGTGCGCAGGCTGGCGTTCCTATGCTTCATGTGGGATACGCAACACGCAGTGCTTTTTTGCCAGTCGCTCTGCATGTCCGCTTTCGAACTCCGGTCCAACATGCCTTGCGATCAGTCCATCTGGGAGGCCGACTCAGCCGAGACATGGCATCAGTTGCGACAGAAGCAGCCAACGACCCCATTGTTCCTATCGTGTCTGAAAATGTATCTTCACCCCGATGCTGCGACTATCCCCAAGAACCTGAATGCGTTGTCCCGGTCGTTGCTTCTACATGGCCTGATGTCTGTAGCATGGGATATGCAACGGCGCGACCAGACATCGCTGGGCGTCATTGAGTCAAACCCACTCGGCAATTGGCAAGCTCGTCTCGCGGCCTCATATTCCGCGTGGCACGCAGACTACACTGCTTTCTGCGCCGCATATATTTCGTCGCTTCCACCATCCACACCCTTCCTCGCCAAAGAGTTCCACGTCTGCCGCACCGCCACACTAGCGCTTTATCACGCCGCGCACATCCTGCTCCACACACCCTTCCTGGACCTCCAAATCTACGCTGGCTCACGGCATATCCTTGGCCGCCCAGTCGCGCGACATGACTACGCACGCTCTCAGCGTGTAGTCAAAAAATGGGTAGCGGAGAACACAGAAGAAGCCGGGAAAGCAGTCTGGCACGCCGCCGCTCTTGTCAGCGAAGGCGTGGAAGTTCTTGACGGCGACCTGAGCTGTTCAGACATCAGTGGAGGGAGACTTTGGCACCACCCTTGGGCCGTGTACCTTGGTACGTTGGTGGTATGGGGTATATGGTATGCTCGGCCATCTCCACCACCACCATCTGGAGATCAATTACCGCATCATCTTCAGCATCTAGATGACGAGGACGAGATCATCTGGGATCCCGCTGCGGAAATGAAGACATTGCTTGGCGCTATTCTCGTAGCTCAACCTGAGAAGCTGCTTGAAGCGGGCAGTGAAGGCGTTTTCGCTGGCGGCATGGGAAAGAGGGGAACGAACGGGCTTGCAGCTGTCGTGAGCAAGTGTTTGAGTAAGGTGCGGTGGGCTGTTGTGCATGATGGTATGATGGTTCTTAGAGGGCTTGTACAGTGGCGTTTAGTTGGCGGTAGTGGTGGCCTATGAAATGCCAAGATCTAAAAATTCCATCGCGACATTTATCTCTTCGGCACATAGTCGCTTCTTTCTCTCCGTGTAATTCCAAGCCATCTATGACGGTGACCAAGAGCCCTCACAGGCTTCTTGTATGGCCACTGTGCGTTCACCTCTGCAGATCTGGCCGGGCCATCATCGTTGGCGGTCGAGGATCGGCGACTAGGGGTCGAAGTACCCGAAACAGTGGTGGACGTGCGCATGTTCTCTGTGTGTTTGGTGACATCGGCAGTTGATTCAGGTTTCGGCCTATCGTGCGTGGTTGCGTATTCTTCATAGAGTGTTTTCACCAGACTAGCAGCCCAGGACGAGTCGCCTAACCCCAAGCGATATCGAATGGACGAACCGAGCGCAAAGGCCTTTAGCTCGCTAGCCAAGTTCAGCTCAAACTGAACGTACTTTGCTCTGGCGGCGGCCTTTGACTCCTGGTGTATGCGCTCGATACGTGATTTCTCTGCCCGATACCGCTCCGTGTGGGTTGATGTACAGGAGTGTCTCAATCGAGTTCGCGCAATCTTAAGATTCTTGTTCGCGGCCGAATAGTTCTGGGCGACCAACTGCCTCGGGCCAGTGCACTCATCTATATACTTCTTGCCATATGCTGCTAGCAGATCTCTGTACTTTCGCGTCAGAATGACGAGGGAGCTATCTTCGACCAGCCAAGCAATACTCTGAGCATCAGCAAGCAACTCCTCAAGACGGTCCAGATTCACCTCCGTGAACTCGTGCGCATACGCATTGCGGATAAAGCGAAGAGATTCAAGCCTTCTCTGGATGATTTTATATAGGTCGCGCCAATGCTCGTCCTCGTCCAGGAGCTTTTCAAAGTCCTTGATAGATAGACTCTCGGGGTCATTCAAGTTCTTCTCTTGCATTACATCGGGAAACTGACGTCTGCCAAATACGAACAAGGCTCGTTTGAACCGTTCGTGAACATCACCCAGAATGTGGTGTTGTACTTGGTACGGCACCATGACCATGACGGGTTTCGAAGCTCCACGGGGCTGAGTGGACTCCGGACTAGAGCCCAACTGCTGACCTGTCGTGTCTGTCTCTGGCTCGATTGACAATACAGACGTTTTTTCTGAAAGGAGTCTCTCAAGATAGTCGCCGGAAAAGAGCAGCTTGAGGCTAGTAACCTTATTTTGCTTTTCAAGGATATGTTTTGACATCCCATCAAGCTTTGTGGTTGGCTTCAGGTATTCCAGTGTTTCATTGTAGAACGAACTCTGAGCTGCGCGCCAACGCTCCATCTCTTGAATCTCCTGTTGTAGAGTAGAGTGAGAGATTCTCGTGAACGGATTGAAGGGCCGCCCCAAGGTCGCAGTATCGATGGATGCATGCCCCAGTATTCGAAGCTGTCGGTACGATTGGTCGATGTCGTGCAGGAGTGCAGAAATCTCGCGTTGCTGAAGGCTCTTTGCTGAGCCCCTAGTTCCGTATCCTCGTGCCTTCGCCAACAGTATCGCGGTCGTTTCACGAAAGAGCCTCGTTTGCTCATCCGGTGGTAGCCTTGGGGCAACGCGCGTAAACCAACCTTTTGCCATATACTCATCATTGGCAAGCGACCTCTCAACGAAATCCGTGAAAGATTTTCGGGGCTCCGCCTTCTCCCCCTCGGGATCCGTGCCAGGAGTCTCGTCACTTGCTTTGATCTGCTTTTCATATTCAACGATATGATCTTTGTGCTTACACAAGAGCCGGAGTCGGCGCCTTAGGCGATCCCGTGGTGCCTTTTGTCCTGGCACTGTGCGCTTGTACATTGATCTCGTCAGTATGATATGAGGCCGTAAAAGCTCCAACAATGCAAGAGCCGCCGCTCTCTTATCAGAGGGTTTAGGCAAGAGTTTAACGTAATGCATCCATGGCATCGCGGTCGGGAAGCTTCTGTCGTCATCGATCGCAGCGCTAAGCGAATAGATTGCAGCTTCATGCCGTGATATGGCCTCTGATGTCACTTCGAGTACAACATCTGCATCTTGCTTCGTACTTGTATCCAGGACGGTCCCGTCGCCCATTGATGGGTCGTGTTGCTGGGTGGCACGCGTCTCTTCCTCATCATCTCGCTTCTGCAACCCTTGCGACGACCACCTTGACGACGAGAATTGTATGCCTGCTGGCCTGCGCGAGACTAGAACCTTGCTGTTCCAGCTTTGTCCCAGCGATGACGTTGCTGTACTTCGTGAAGCAAGCCATGCTCGGCAACTTGCGTGTGAACCGAGTGCAAGACTGCGCCAGAGAGTGTCAAAGTGCATCAATGATAAGGAATGGGCGATGAATCATCGAGATGGACGCGTGAAGGGTATGGCAACGCGACGACAATTGGGGCTGCTATGTCGAAGGAAAATGTGGATCGAAGAAGGCCGTGCGTGCTAGTGGCTGCGCTTACTGCATCGGGCGGTGTCAACGCCATTGCTTGAGGGCGAGAATAGCGGAACGCAAAGCAATCCAAGCGGTGACTCTTGCAAAGAATTGCGGTTGCATTCGTGTATATATTCCATCCGCGCAACCTCTCGAAGTCATCCAGAAAGATAAACGATGCAGCCCTGCCTAAGTGAAGTATCTCCACATCTCACTCTCTTCCCCGTCGCCCAACTCGCTAGTTCTAACATCATCCGCCCTCAGTCTAACACCTTGCACCTTATCTCTCCGTCGATTCTCCAGCTTCATCCACCCTCCCAGCCACAGTGTGAAGCAGATACACGTAACATTACAAGCCGCAGTTGCATAAAGCGTCGGCAGATACTTTGGCGCGTACTCTTGTCTAAAGGTCGCAGCGGAGACGATGCCTCCAAGATTACCGAGTCCGACCATGAGGCCGGTCGTAGCAGCGCGGGCGTTCTCATTGAGATTGTTGTTGTTGTGCCAAGAGTGTACGAGACAGGAAGGTACGTACGCGCCTGCACATAACAAAAAGCAAGCGAAGTATGCGACGGCTTTGTTGTTGAGAACGTCAATGGTTGCGAGAACGATGAGTCCGGCGAGCGAAATGCAAAGAGCGCCGCAGATGTGGAACGTGCGTTCGCGGAAGAAGTCGCTGCTGTACGTTATGCAGAGCAAGACGACGAAGCCCACCGCGTTTGGCGCTACGGTCCAGAGATTGGTTTTGATGACGGAGAATCCGAGGCGTTGGACGATCTGAGGCAGAAAGTTCGAGGTCGTGCTGAAAGCTACAGGGTAGGTGAAGGCGATGATGCACCAGGGAAGCATCTTCCACGTATTCCACTCCATGAAGCACTCTCTCATGTTAAAGTCGTGAGAGCCGGATGAGGATAGATCGCGGAGTGTGCGACGTTCGGCAACGCTGCGTTCGGCTTCGTTCAAGAACCATGCCGATTGAGGCGTCGCTGGCAACCAGGCATACGCTATCAAAGCGAGGACCACGGTAAGAGCGCCCTCTATGATGAAGAGAAACTTCCAGCCGGGAATTTTGGTATGCTCGATCTGAAAGACGCCGAAGGAGATGAGGCCGCTAAAAGCACCGGCAAGAAGTGCACTGCCAAAGAAAAGTGCGATGCGAAAGCCGAGTTCGCCGCGAGTGTAAAACAGCGTGAGGTAGAAGACGACGCCAGCGAAGAACCCGGCCTCGAAAGCACCGAGGAGGAGACGAATGACGAGCATGCCTGCGAAGTTGTGTGCTGCGCATTGAAAGAGAGCCATCGCACCCCACCCTACCATCACTGTGGTTTATCGTCAGCTCATGTTGCATGATCTGAGAAGATGGACTTACAAGTAGGAAGCATGACTCTGCCACTCCATTTCTTCGTCAACATGTTGAGTGGAAGATCGCACAGTCCGTTCGGGATGTAGAACAGCAAGATCAACAAGCTATACTGTTCGCCGGTAAAGCCAAGGTCCTTGTCCATCCCATCGGTCTTCGCATTGCCCAGGTTCGATCGGTCAACGCTTGCGTCAAGTCAGTCTACCATGAAGGTGAGGGTATGAGGGAGACGAGCTCACCTGTTGAAGAAGTACATCAGCGAGAGGAATGGCAACAGATAGAAGTCGAGCTTTCGGACTGCATGATCTATCAATATGTGGCCATTGTTTGGTAATGATGAGTAAGAACATACCATAGGCGCTCTCGATATTCTTGTCGAAAGTGTCGATGACTATACCAGCTTCTCCTTTCGATGTGCTCGAACCGGATAGCCTTTGGGGCTTCTCTTCAATCATGGTGATGTCTTTCTGCTGCTCGACTGGCATGGCAAGGTGCGCAACGAAGCAAGGGTAGACCTGAGAAGGTCGAAAATGGTATGGAAGATGCTGGCTGCCTATTATGCCGGTATTTGCTTAGTGAAGCGCGATTTCCTTAAGTAGCATCCTCTCATGTAACGTCTGAGCTGCTACTCATGCATGTACAACGCCACTGAGCCTCCCATCTTTGAACCCAGTGCATGCGTCTATCTTGCCTATCGCCACCAAACAGATCAGCAGCGTAGCGCATAAACGGTGTGAACCGAGCGTGCAGCACATTGGGGCGCGAAGGATCGCGCTGCAAGCGACCTACATTGATAAAGCGGAAGTCTGAAAGAGGAAATATTGATAAGAGTGGGGGAGGGAGAGACACATGCAGAAGACTGACTAGGTGCAGCGGACATATGCTGGAGATAGGCGTACGTCTGGCTAATGCCAAGCACGCAAGAGAAGGGCTTGCCAGAGTGGTATACGAGTTTCCGTGGACGGGAGCTTTGTTACCATAGCCATGGTTGCGATACACTAAAGCCAAGACTTACATTCGACACGTGATGTGTTACCATGATGGTAGGAAACAGCGGTAATCATAGCCATGAATCTATTCCTACCAGGTTGATACCTTGAATTCCCCTCAAACTCCAAAGCCATGCACTAGAATCTCGAAACTGTCGAGATAACCCAATATGTCTGCTTCTACGTATCTCGCAGGAACTGCTCGTAGTATTCGTCCATCCATTGTACAGCAGCCATCCCGTTCTCCCTGGTGCCGTCGGCGA